CAAGTTTCATTCCAGCATCATGGCTAATAAAATATGTTAGTAGGGACATAAGGCGATGCACTATGCCAGAAATATGTTCTGTCTTCATTCCAGCTATTTTGTCTTCTGGTGGAAATAATTTGTGAGTAAATATCCTTACAACCCATATAAGCTCTCTCACAGATGCAGTTGGTTGTTTGCAGGACCATCGTGGTTCCAGCACATTGTGTTAGTTGTGACATAGCACTGCCTGGGTGCAGCTGTATGGCTTCTGAAGCCAGGCTGAATCTAGAAACAGTTGGGCTGTACTTCACAGTGTCCAGGCTGATGGGCTGTGCTGGTCCCTTCTGGAGTCAGTCTGCAAACAGGGAGGTTTGTGGGACATGATGGCTTCCAGGCAGCTCCTCAGAGGGCCTGTTGGGGATTTTCAAGGTTTCGTCAGGGGTTATGAATCCAGCTGGTTCTGTGTGGGATGGATGTTCCATCACTGTGGTCCCTTGAATTCTGGGCAGACTTGTTATGAACAGGGCCAGCTCAGATTTAATGCTGAAACTGAGGTAGTATCTGTCTGCCTCAAAAAACACTAAGAAGTACTTGCAAAATTACTGAAGCCCTGTGTGGACTTCTTCAGGATGCCTCAGATCCAGCACTGTGCAGCAGTAAATGTGGATTTGTGAACAGTTGACTATAACAGCATGCTAGAGAAAGCAGCACTATAGAGCACCTATGTTTGCTTTCCTCCCCTATCTAGAGTATCCCTGCCTTTTGTTTACCAAGGTAAAGGTGGTCTGTCATGGAGATCGCAAGTGTTGTGTAACTCTTCATCATCAAAGATAATGGAAACTTTCTGATAAAAATGCTTTCTGATAAGGTGGTGAATGCTATTTTTATTTTATTTTTAATCGGTGTCAGCATATTATTATTTATCAAAACTTTTTTGGGTTTTTGTGGGTTTGTTGTTTTTTTTTAGTTTTAATACACTGAGAAGATAAAACAAAAAAGTCTCTTACGTCACCTTCTTCTGGCAAATTAAGCTTGTTTTATATATAAAGCTGTATGACAGTATAGGTTACTTTTGACTGAAGTTTTGGGGGAAGGTATTGTTGGACTCCAGTTAGTGTCATATGCTTCCATTGTAGTCAGCTTTGGCAAAGAGCAGCCCTCTTGTTACTTCTGTTAGGGACATTTATGTCTTGTTCTTCGAAAGCATGATAGAGTTCAAAACCTAAAGTAGTCAAAGGTTATGTGCTCATTCTTTGTTCTCTGCAGCCTCATGGCCACCATTTCACAAACATAGGGATTCTTTGTTATGAAGTGTTCCTTTTAATTCCTAGATACTTCCATGGGCTGTTTCCAGTCCCCTTTTATTAGGATCTCTCACTTTTTGTGGCTAGACTTAGACTTTGGGATTTCTTTAAAAAAAAATCTCACTGCTTTCAGTTCTCCCAGATACTTTTAATAATAATGTCATTTGTTACACTGAAGCAGTATCTTAACCCTGTTTGCTTCCTGGGCTTGGAACAGACAGTAACAAGATACGAAGTTAGAGAATTATGGCCCTGTTAAATGAGTGAAGGGACAATTCACATTGTACATGTAGCAAAATCTGAAGAATGAAAACTGTTTATGTTAAGTTTCAGCTATGAATGAAGATAAACAATATGACCAACAGGTGAAATATTGTAGGTAATTCTTAAGAAGAAAACATCTACACTTTTTTTTTTCTTGTGTGCGTGTAGCTTCACACACAGACACACGCACACACAGCTGGTGCAGTGTTATTCTGTTGCCCATTTACACTATTCTTGTGGAAGGTCTTCTGTGTTAAACCAGTGGTAGCAGCAAATTTGCTGCTCTCCAGTCTCATCTTGATTTGCATTATACAAATTTTAACAGAATCACTGCTGTTGACCTTTATGTTCCTTGCTAGTTTCAGCCCCAGCATGGGTTTGGCTTTTTAACTCCACCCCTGCATACTTTTGCATTCTCCTGCATAACTTGTATCTATCTCCGTCTTCTACATGCATGAGTTTTGCATTCAAGTTCATTAAAATTAATCTATTCTGGCCTTCTGCCACAGGTGCTCAACTTTCTGCCCATACAAATGGGCTGTGCATGTGCTTTGAGGAAGTTGACCTCAAAGATCCCATAGTTCTCAGCTTCTCCTGAAAATCCAGTTAAGGATATGACCTACCTAGTAAGCGTGGATGTTTCTTAAAAATAAAATCCTAACATGACAAGCTAAAAGTTGATATATTTGCAGCAGAACTTGTATACAACCATGAGAATTCCTGTGATAGCATATCAGCTACATACAGCTCCCTTATTATGTTTCTCTAATTTCATTCCTGATTTTAATGTCTAAGTTAATATATACTGTTTCCATTTCAGTAGGGCTTACGTGTGATGCTGAAACATGCATTATGAATTGGTTTACAGTGCTGCAAATATACAAGTGTAACTGACTTGAAATAAGGTCTGTGTGAATGGAAATTGTTAGGGTTACCATTGAGATCAGTGAGACCTAAACCAAATGCACATTTATGGTCTAAATTAACAGCTAAAAGAATGGCATAACGGTAGTGCATATCTAGGTTTTCCAGAGTGTTAATCACAGAGAAAGCTGAAACTCAGCTGGAATGGATGGGATCCAGGAACATCGATGGAAATCATAGGTGAACACTGCAAACCTTATCAAAAGTCATCTGGTTCATTTTTGAGTAATCACAGTTCTGTTTTTTCAATGCTACTGCTTACTAAGCTGTCTTTGTGCAAACTAAATTCTCATTTAAGAGCAAAATCTACCTCTGTATTGGAAATAAAATGAACCCAGGGACTGAGCTGCAGCTTGTTCCCGCTGTTAATTGCTGCAGTCTTCCTGGAGTAGTTTTTATCTGTACCACCTAGAAATTTATAGGACCCTTCTTTCTCCTGGCGTGTTTTGGGGATACCACATGCCAGGAGCCATTTCCAACAGGCAGTGTAGGTAAGGCTCCACTTTGGTTTCCTTCCACCCTAATCAACCATACAGCACTATGCCAGCAGGTCATGTAGCCTCAAACACCTCAAATGCCATAATGCCTCACAGCAGGAAGGAATGCATGCCCTCATTTTCATACCATGAAAGCACTGGCCTGATAGCTCTCATACAGTCCTCATTTTGAAGTAAAAAAAGAAATAATCTCCACAAATATTATATTAAAGGCATAGGGTTGTTATATAGAACTCTGGAATATAACTAAGAAGATCCCAGAATCAAAATATAAGGTCAAACCTTTTTTTAGGGACATTGGCTTCCAGGAGAGGTGAACGTACAATGTGTGCCTTAGACCTGTTCCCCATGATTGTCATTTACACTTTGTTTCACATAATATGTGTGTTTTTCCATCTAGATAGACTGTTCCTTCCTGTCAAACCAAGCGTGCTGCTGACTGAGTCATGGCTGTGTATACAAGCTAAATCCTGTGTTCTTATCTCACTTGCACTCACCCACAGTTGACTTAAGGAGGACCAGTATTAAACCAGTGAAGTCAAGCAGAATGGTGTTAGAAAAACAGAGCTAATGTTGTCTGTGCCTTATGGCTTTAGAAACTACAGCAAAGCCATGACTGCTGCTGTCCATTCTGTGTATTACCTGACTCAGTGGTGCTATAATGCAGACGACAAACTGAAACAGCTCTTTCTTCCTCTTTTGTTGTGTAGCTCTTTGCCTTTATGTTTAAGCTCTGCTCTGAAGGCAGTTACCTATTTTCTCGTGGTTTCTCTGGGAGTTCTTATGAACACTTCACAAATCCCAGTTCAGGAAGATTTTCTGCTCTGATATAATCTTGCAGAATCTTGTGGAACTTTGCCAGGAAGTTTCACAGGTGCCAACAGCAGAGAGATTAGAATCAGAAATCTTTGGCTCCATTTGGCTCCAAGTGGAAGTGCATGTGCTTCTCAGTTGCAGGAAGCCCTCTGGTGGTTCACGTTCCTGTGTTTCTGTTCGTGCAATCTGTTCCAGTCCCTTTGCCACTCCATTGCTAACCACGCTGTATGCAAGCAGCACCATGCTAGATGCTTCCAATGTCACGTTTCCCTGTTGCAGCCCCTTTTCCCTCTCATCCAGATGAGTGCCCAAGTTCCATTTCAGCACTGTTACCTTCATAGCTACTTTTTCCATTCCAACTTTCTCAGTCAGCTTCACATCTTAGTTCAGCATGTTGGTGTGTTCGTACTGTACCTTGTCTTATCAAAGGCCGTTTCTCAGCAGCGCCATCTGCCCAGCTTCTTTTTGGTACCAGCTACAATCATACTGCAGTGCTTCCATTTCTATGCTGGCTGTATGCTGGAGAATAGAATTCTCTCTGAAAGCAGCAGAGGAAATGCTAGTTGCTCATTGTTTATAAGGAATGTCTGGTTTCACTTACAAATTGGCCTGGAAGGAGTGTATTCAGTTACTGTTGGGAAGTGAGGAAGTGATGTGCATGTCATCTGGTCAGCTCAGAGTATAGTGGGAGACTTGAGTATTCAAGCTTGGAGATACTAACTTCTAAAATCTGAAGTCCAAATGCATACAAGTATCTTCAGGAAGTGTGGTGTCCCTCATTGAAAAAACACCTGGTAGTTAAATTTTGCATCCTTTCCTCAAGATGTGGTATAGCTAGTGTTTTCAAAACGTAGATCAGTGGGACATGGGTGAAAAAAGTAGCTGAACTATTTTTGTGGCTAAAAAAAAACTTGACTGAGAAAGATGCCTTGCCTCATCAAGAAAATCACTGAATTTATGCCAGGTAAATTGGAAAATTTGCTAACATAATAATTGGCAACACCTGTGACACCGCTTAAATGTGTTTGTCATGAATTTAAGTGAGAATTCTGTGTTACGTGAGGAAGGCCACAGATTGAAAAGTTTTCTGTTGTAACATGGGAAACACAATGCAACAAGACTGTAATTTTCTACATAAAAAGGTAAGAACCTAACTTGAACATTACATTTTAAAGATGTTTGTATTAACTGATAATTTCTTATTTTATTTAAGTGTCTGAAGAAAACAAGAAACATGGAAGGTCATAAGTAGTAAGTACCTTGGTCATTTTTTTTCTTACTCTAAAGAGCTAATGGTGTTTGGCATGCTGATTTGTCACAGGCTGAGTTTATCACACACAATATTCTGGCACCTAGTATTTATGTGAAGTCATTGGTAGACATTCTGTTTAAAAGGAATAAAAATAAAAGATGAAAGACTGCTAAAGAATGGAAAAACAAGTGAATTGAATAGATAGAAAAATAACACGTTACAGATTTCCTCTTTAATAGAAAAAAATGTATGAACTGTCATATTTCAAGAGGTTTATCCATGGTTGTCAACTTCACAATAAAATACATCCTTCTTTTAGTTTCATGTTCTGATTGTTCAACAAAACCTAAATATATCCATGATTGCTTGACACAAAATCTATTTTAAAAAGTATTGACAAGAATCTACCAGTAAAAATTGCTACCAGATACTTCAGTAATGGGATTATAAATCTTTCACTGTTTTCTCCAAATGAAATTAGAAGCTTAATTTGTGTATGTTTGCAAAAGATTATCGTGGGTTGGAACTAGATGATATTTAAGATCCGTTCCAACCCAAACCATGCTACAATTATATTCCTCTTATTCCTTCAATTGGTTTATCACTCTCTAATTCAGGAATCTATTAATGCCAGCATTGTTAATTTGGGGGGGGATGTCATATTAATAACTCATTTTTACTCCTTGCACTATGCCCCCAGAATCTCTAGTGACCTCAAGTGAGGTAGATATTGAGCCTGTTTGACATCAGATGAGTTACAGTGTTTTCTTCGGTTGACCACTGAACTGAGATATTGGTTATCTGCACAGCTGTAGCAAAAGTTAAAGCACACAACTAGCCAGGCAACTGGGGTCCTTACGCTAGCTTGTGAGCAGTTTGATTTTTGTTTTTTATTATTGTTATTATTAAAGTAATGCTATTTTGATTAAACTCTCACATTCTATTCTCACATAATCCAGGAGGATCTTCTTGTAGAGGTTGTAGATTTATTAAGTTACAGTATTTGTCGGGTCAGTATAGGCTTCGCCTGGCTTGACGGCTGGCTGTTGTTAGAACAGTTAAGGGTTTGTCTGTGTAGAATTTCACATGAAATATGGTATGGTTTGCATGTGTTGTTTATTTTGTCCTGTAGCACCAAAATGTCCTTTAATTTTAATGAAATTAGTAAATAAAGCTTTTGAAACTAATGTTTGGGTAGAATTAAATAGGTAAATATCTTTGCTTTCAAAGTTTGGGGAAGAAACAGAGAATTGCTGTATATAAGTGCATTTTGAATTTTGTCCTTGCTCACTTCCAGTTTCATTTCTTACCACATCTTTTGTGATTAAGCCACTGTGTCCTAAAACTGATTAAAAAATAACTGAAGGAAGTAACAAATCCCTGTGAGACAAATTTTCTTTCCAGTTTAAACTGTGTCACTGGTAACTATGTAGAGCAGATTCACTACCCTTTTGGGGAACATGTGTAACAATGGTTTGTTTCAGAATGGCCATATTATTCACAGCAAGCAATACACACACACACACACATGTATGTGTGTGTGTGTGTGTATATATATATACACACATATGTATATACACACATACCTGTGTGTCTCAATACATATATAGAACCAATGTGCATGCTGGGTCTGAAGACCTCTTGGGGTAGCGTCTGTGAGCTGTCTGTGTTGTGGAGTTAGTGGGGGGTGTCTCAGTAGTGAACCACAGTTTGTCACTCCACAGGTGAAGGGTATCTTTTCTCAAAATAAACTCAACCTCTTTTATTTCCCTGGAATGTTTAATATAGCAGGTTTTAGCAACCATTTACTTCTGAAGAACGGAAAAATTACTGCAGCTTTTTATATATGCATATAGGGGAAAAGGCATGTACTTTTGTGGAAGTTAATAACGGAATAACACTTCTTGAAAGAGATTTAATGGTAAAGCTATATTTTCAATTAAGTCATCTTAGAATCATAGAATAGTTAGGGTTGGAAAAGACCTGAAGGTCATCTAGTTCCAACCCCCCGCCATAGGCAGGGACACCTCACACTAAACCATGTCACCCAAGGCTCTGTCCAGCCTGGCCTTGAACACAAGGATGGAGCATTCACAACTTCCCTGGGCAACCCATTCCAGTGCCTCTCCACCCTTACAGTAAAGAACTTCTTCCTTATATCCAATCTAAACATCTCGTGTTTAGGTGTTAACCCATTACCCCTTGTCCTATCACTACAGTCCCTAATGAAGAGTCCCTCCCCAGCATCCTTATAAGCCCCCTTCAGATCCTGGAAGGCTGCTATGACGTCTCTATGCAGCCTTCCCTTCTCCAGGCTGAACAGCCCCAACTTTCTCAGCCTATCTTCATACGGGAGGTATTCCAGTCTCCCGACCATCCTTGTGGCCCTCCTCGGGACTTGTTCCAACAGTTCCATGTCCTTTTTCTGTTGAGGACACCAGAACTGCACACAATACTCCAGGTGAGGTCTCACGAGAGCAGAGTAGAGGGGCAGGATCACCTCCTTTGACCTGCTGGTCACACTCCTTTTGATGCAGCCCAGGTTGGCTTTCTGGGCTGCGAGCGCACACTGAAGCCGGCTCATGTTCATTTTCTCATCCACCAACACCCCCAATCTAAACTTCCCCATTTAAGTTTTAACCCATTACCCCTTGTCCTACCACTACAGTCCCTAATGGAGAGTCCCTCCCCAGCATCCTTATAGGCCCCCTTCAGATACTGGAAGGCTGCTATGAGGTCTCCATGCAGCCTTCTCTTCTCCAGGCTGAACAGCCCCAACTTTCTCAGCCGATCTTCATACAGGAGGTGCTCCAGTCCCCTGATCATCCTCGTGGCCCTCCTCTGGACTTGTTCCAACAGTTCCATGTCCTTTTTATGTTGAGGACACCAGAACTGCACACAATATTCAAGGTGAGGTTTCACAAGAGCAGAGTAGAGGGGCAGGATCACCTCCTTCGACCTGCTGGTCACGCTCCTTTTGATGCAGCCCAGGGTACGGTTGGCTTTCTGGGCTGCGAGCGCACACTGAAACCGGCTCATGTTCATTTTCTCATCGACCAGCACCCCAAGTCCTTCTCCGCAGGGCTGCTCTGAATCTCTTCTCTGCCCAACCTGTAGCTGTGCCTGGGATTGCTCCGACCCAGGTGTAGGACCTTGCACTTGGCATGGTTAAACTTCATGAGGTTGGCACCAGCCCACCTCACAAGTGTGTCAAGGTCCCTCTGGATGGCATTCCTTCCCTCCAGCGTATCAACCGAACCACACAGCTTGGTGTCATCGGCAAATTTGCTGAGGGTGCACTCAATCCCACTGTCCATGTCAACGACAAAGATGTTAAACAAGACCGGTCCCAACACCGATCCCTGAGGGACACCACCCATTACTGGTCTCCAGCTAGACATTCAGCCATTGACCACAACTCTCTGTGTGCGGCCATCCAGCAATTTCTTTATCTACCAAGTGGTCCACCTATCAAATTGATGTCTCTCCAATTTAGAGACAAGGATGTTGTGTGGGACAGTGTTGAACGCTTTACACAAGTCCAGGTAGATGACATCAGCTGCTCTACCCCTGTCCATCAGTTCTATAGCCCCATCATAGAAGGCCACCAAATTGGTCAGGCAGGATTTCCCCTTACTGAAGTCATGCTGGCTGTCACCAAGCACCTTGTTGTTTTTCATGTGCCTTAGCATGCCTTCCAGGAGAATCTGCTCCAAGATTTTGCCAGGCACACATCTTGGTGTGGTTTAAATATTGTGGGATGGGGAGTTTGTCTTTGTGGGATTTAGGTTAGATTAGATTATGATTGTCTTTAGATTACACTTTTTATTCTGCTGATCTGCTACAGGAATTCAGAGTCATCTGTCAGTAGAAAGTAGTCCTTGAAGAGCAATTGCATGTATATGCACCCACAGCCATCATTGCATGTGTAAAAGGAGTCGTGAGGGTTCTACCTTTCACATAGCATGCTCAAAAGAGATGAGTGCTCTTCTAAGTCTGTATTACTCAATTGTAAAAAAAGGGAGGGCAAGAAGTAATCTAATTCCATTCATAAAATGAACTTTGAGAAACACCAACACTGCTGAATTTGCATGAGATTGCTGCCTAAGCAACTCTACTAGTTCATTTGAAACTCTCCTATTAGTTATAAAAATAAATTTTAATTACATGGGCTATAAATCATTCCCTATTGGGAAGAATTATTTGCAGCTGATTATTTGGCAGTACCGCTAAAATACATGTTAAATACATTCAAATTGAAAGCAGTGTGTTATTTTCTAAAGTAGGAGGAGAAAGTTAGTGTACTAATTTAATTGCTTTGTTATTAGTGCATAATGAAGAAATGCATGGTAGGAAAGTATATGTTTGCATGCAAATGCAATATTCTTGATAGAAATGTATTCATCTAGCATGTTAGATTTGTTTTTTTAAGCATCATATTGAAGCTTTGTAATTTTGTTTCTTAATATTTTAGCAATTATCCAAGGGAATTTTATGACCAATATGCTCAAAGCCAAGAAAAATCTGTGGTCAATAAAATGCAACAAAAATACTGGAAAACAAAACAAACCCTTATAAAAGTTACAGGAAAAAAAGAAGATGAACATGTTGTGGCTTCAGATGCAGATCTGGATGCAAAACTTGAGGTTTGTAATGTTTACATAATGTGTATTCTTTGTTAATTCTTAAAATGTTTTCATTTCCATCAAGCTTCTAATATGTGTGCGCCTAGTATATAATAGTGTATATACATTTGTATAATTGTTTTCTTGTAATATGTTTTCTGTTTTTTTACAAAAGTACCTATGCAAATATAGGAAACATAGTGGATTTTGTAACACAAACCCACATCCCTCAAACTTTATTTGGGACCAAATATCTCTCTTACTTATTTTTAGGCTTTGGTCCTTTTGTTGTTAGAGGAGAGCAGGAGGTGGTAATTTCTACTTATATTAGTTATTCTTATCCTTTGCTTATATCAGTTCAAGATTATTTTTTTAAATAGTATTCCTTAGTATATACAGTGACATTATTTATACAGTTATAAAATACTGCATACAGCAGGGAAAATCATGCAGTGTGCCAAGAAGGAACACGGTGCATTATGCGCCCTGCTGTTTGGATCTTGACATGACCCAAGAAGTTTCTGATAGTGTGTAAAGTGTCACCAAGAGAAGGAATCCTGCTGTGTCACAAATACAGCTCTACTGTCATTGTCCTCAACCCCACTGGAAAAATAATAAAAATATTAAGGCTCTACAAAATTGAAGAGCTTGATCGTTTAACACAAAGCAAAAGAGAGAATGGACTTTCAAAGTGCAGTAATCAAGTTAGCGTCCAGCTAAGTTTTATCTGTATTGTTTTCTTACATAAGGAGGAAAGTTTTGCCTTATTGGTATTCTTGCAGTTTCATAGAAAATTGTTGACTTAAGATTCTCAGTTTATCCACATTTTAGCTGAAATACAAGAGGCTGGTTTACAACAAATAAATCTTTGCAGTGCTAGCTATAATAGTGATAACTTAGAACATGATGATTCTATCTATGGGCTCTTCATGATGGGTTATAAATCAAGAGCATTGATTTAAAACAAGCTGGAAGACTGTAACGATCTCTTGTAAAAGCGTTCCTGAGTTCCTACCATGGGTACTGTGTTGCAGATTCATCAGAAAGGATGCTTTGTTAGTTAAGTGGGATTGGAAATGGGGAAAGTTGCATTTACCAGACTATAATCATGTTTTCACTTGAACAACTTCTCAAGCGCAAGTGACACGGTCTAAAAGACCGGTGTAAATGTACAGGAAGTCAAACATGTGAACAAAGACAGTTCTGGAAGTCCATTTTGCATATGTTTGTACAGTGCTTGATATGCTGGAGATGAGGTTTAAGTTACAGATTGAAGATTTTAGATGTACAGACAGAAAGAGTAGTATTTTTTCTATTACCTAGAAACAATCCCCAAATTCAGTCAAGACTGACTTCCCCACCCCCACCCACTTCCTATGGAAAATGATGCTTTATAAAATTTGATTAGAGAACTGGAGCTGTGCCACTAAAATCTCAGTTTAAATCAATAACTTCCATTGTTGGAATACCAATGTAAGCTTGTTCCACTAAACTTTGTAGTATTAAAAATTCAGTATGTGTGTTGCTACACCTGATAAGCATTATACACATTTTGATAACATTTTATTCTATTTTGATTTTTGAGTGTTGGGTTTTTTTTTTTTAGAAAGATTTGTACTACACCTTCATATATATATACACAAATATATCAATTAAAAAGCCCCAACAGTAGTTTGGTTAACTATTAGCTATTTATATTAGATATGTTTCCAAAATCATTCTTGTCTTTGTTTTCCTTTCATAAGTTATGATTGGTCTCTCTTTAGTTTCAGTGGACAACTTAATTGAAAGAAAAACACAATTGATAAGGAAAATTTACTTTCATGCTGGAAAAATTACTCATTGTTCAAGAAGAAAATGGTGATCCTAGTCATTTCTACAAAAAATAATCTCTTTCTTGTATTTGAATTGTCAGTGTTTCTTGTATATGCTTACAATTTTTTTTGTGTATTTTGTTTCAATATCAGCTGTTCCATTCTATTCAGAGAACATGTATGGAGCTGCTGAAAGCAATTGAACTGTATCAAAAAAGGATTTGTTGTAAGTATGATCCAATACAGTAGTTAAAATAAGTGGGTCTGCATTATGGAATATTATTTTTTTAATCAGGATTGACTATGAAGAATATTGGGCTTAATACTAGTTTTATAATTAAGTAATCCATGCTATTACGATAAATTTGATAATGCCAACTTGGCTCTGATGGGTGTATAGTAATTAGTGGCAGTTACTGGGGGCAGGCAGGGGCCTCATTTAAGAAGCTGCAAGAAGCAGGTTGTATTAAATGACCTCTAAAGGTTCTCTGCAATCAGTAGTTTGATTCTCTGCTACTGTGATTTCTGGCCTGGAAAAGAGAATCCAGCTTTGGAGATATCTTTCAATTTACTTTCTTCTGTGGAACATTGTTCATATTTTCTTGGGTTTTCTTCTTTTGACTGTCCAAAGAGAGTTGGAGATAATGATTCAGGATCTGAATGTAAAATTAGAATATAGAATAGTAGTGTACAAGAAGTGTAGTGTTCAAGAATTGTTCCACAGTAGCAGGTGAAATCTCTTGACACAAAGACATGCATGCAGCAAATTCTACTAAAATCTGCAATGGATTTGACTGCCAGCATTTGGAAAAAGGATGAGGACTTCAGGGAATCTCTTTTCTTTATATTAAGCCATTCTTACTATTCATAGTGGGAATAAATTGTTACTTTAGTAAATAGCTGCCTTGGAAGACTAATAGATAAGACCAAGGATGTGAGATCATGAAGACCCATGGTTCCAGCTTAGAAGTAATCAACAAGTCATTGTCATCTTCTAGTTTAAAAAAGTATCACTTTTTTAGAAATATTTCAGATATTTGAAATACAATTTTGAAAATAGTGTTTGAATTGTGTAAAATGTTAAAGTTGTAAAATAATCTTGCAGAGTAATTTGAAAATGAATGTTTTTTAAAATTAAGTACTAGATTTTCCATATGAAAAATTCATTTCTGTAGTCAAGCATGAAAAATGGAGAGCAAGAGAAAAGGAAGTGAACAAGCTTTGGGTAGTATAAGTCAGAATTAACTTCAGAGAAGGTATGCTACCAAAGATCAGCTGAGGCAGTGTAGGTGGTAAAATATGACTAAAAATAGCCCCTAAACCAATCAACCAAATAATAATGATGATAAAATAATAAAATAAAACCCCCAAACCAAACAGGTCTTAAAACTCATGACTAAAAGATACTTTAATCAAGATTGAGCCCTTTGTGTAATCTAACCCACCTACTATTTTTATTCAAGGAAGTAACAGCATGTTTCTTCTTTCTCCTGTTGGCTTTCAGCACTGATGGAATTTTGTGATTCTTAAGTATATCAGCAAATGTCTCAAGTGAATCAGATCTTCTGTTTCCCAAATGTAGAAATTTAATGAAATTATGTTTTTGCTGTGCTGCTTGGATTTAGAATAACAACCTATTTGATGTTAAGCCTGTTTTAAAGCTGTTAGGAACCTATTAAATAATGTTTGACCACTCATTTATTTTTCGTTAGTTCTTTCTCAGGAAGAAAATGAATTGGGGAAATTTCTTCGGTTGCAGGGCTCTCAGGATAAAACGAGAGCAGGAAAAATGATGCAAGCCACAGGAAAAGCTCTCTGCTTTTCTTCTCAGCAAAGGTATATGTGTCAAAATTGCTGTCTGATTTACAAAGTATGTGGGATAATTGTAGTTGATTCACCATTGGCATAATTAATTTTGCCATTTGAAATATGCAAGGAACCAAATGATAAGAAAGTTGTTACTGACCAACCTATCTGTAGTATTTGCAATATTAGTGGCTTGCTCTGTGTAGTTTTGCCTGATCCTGGTTTTTGTCTTACGGACCTGCTATGTCATCTCTGTATCTCCAGATCCTCTGCTTGCACCTGTACAGCTCAGCAGTTCAGAAAGCTGTGCAGCTACAGACATCTCTAGCAGTGGGGTTGTAAAGGAGCTGATGTCAGGTCCCTCTCCTGCTTTGTGGCACTTCTCACTCTGCAGAAAAATGCTACAGCAGGCTCATTGTGGAGGTATCTGGGTCCTGGGAGGTCAGGAAAATGGGTAAGGAAATGCCTTTTTCTGAGCCATGCAGTCTCATGCCTCAAGTTAATAGAGTAGAAAGGAGAAGTCAGGTTGCCAGTTTCTGCTGCAGCCTTAAATCTTGAAGTTCCTCAGGAGAAGATCTCAGACCCCCACTGAGGTCGTGTAGGTTGGGTAGGAACAAATCAGTAAGAGGTAAGGAATCCAGAGACACACATATACATAAATATGTTTGTTATCCGGAGTCCTTGATGTCTCGCTGACCCTGTGTTTGCTCAGAGATTTTATAAGTAACAATACCTGATGAGTACTGTGGTGTTTTGGTTTTTTTTAAAACAGTATTGGGACTATGAAAGTTTGAAATTCACCATCATTTGCAATGGAAAATTCTATTCTGTGATATTTTACAGGATTTTTTTGTGGCTCTTAACTACCATGTTACTTTCCAGCTTTAGCTTAACAGTGCAGCTGCTTGGCTCAAAATAAAACACTTCATACAGAGCACTGAGAATTTCCTATGTTTATCTTGGGTTAGAGTTTGGTCATTAGCACATCCAGTAACAGCCATGAGTGGGATCCTTAAAACATGTGTAAGGCACCTTTCAGCAAAAGCACTGGTGATTTCCTCTTTATAAAGTCTAAATGTTTATAGGAATCCCAGTGTATGACACATCTACATAAACCAAATTTTCCTTTGAAGGGCTGAGTAAGATTTTGTAGAATGAGAAAAAATTGAGAGGGAATACACTAACAAGTTCACATTTTATTGTATCTCTCACTTCATGCATTTTTAAAGCAACTTTTAAAATAAAATCACATAAAAATAAAACCAGTTCTTTGTCTGGCTTCTCTTCTTGAGCCGTCTCCAAGGTCATGAAGTTGGGACTGCTCTTATTTATGTTGTATGCCAATATCTAGCTCAGTAGTTAGAGATCAAGAAGACACAATTCACTGTTTACTGGAGCTGAAATTAGGAATTCTCTTATGCCTATGAAGTCACTAAGTAACACATTAAACAAACTCAACACTGCTGTAGAACTGATTGAGCCCATTTCAGTGAGGTAGCTGCTGGCAACCAAGGGGAAAGCAGAACCATCAGGAGGAAGCAAGGCAAAAGTAGTTTTGAGATCACATTAGAAGCTACAGTGATGACATAGGGAAGACGACAATGTCCCCTACTGCCTTTCCGAAGTGTAGTTGCTGGAAGAAATGTTTAAGAAAATGCCTAAATCCTTCAAAACTTAAATGTCTTTCAAAGACATTGTTCAGATTCCTAAAATAAATAAATAAGTGAGGAGGAATGAGATCATTATCTACTTGACAGATGACTTCTTTATTTACCTTTACATTTGAAGAGTAAAGGGCTAATGGAAGTGCTTTTTGTGAGGCTTAACGTGACAATCCTTATACGTCTGTGGCATGCATCCAGTAATAGTTACCTCAGGTACGTTTTTAGAGTAGTTAAGTCCAGCTTGTGAAGAGGAATGGTAATAGCATACACACAAGCAGCTTGGCTAACTAAAATATGGATACACATTACAAAAGGTTACTTGTCTACTTGCATGTGTAAGTGAAAAGTCACTACTTGAACAGGAAGATTACAAATACAATATTCATACAAAATTAATGCACTCATGTGTACCCCCAACCAAGCTTTAGGGCCATCTGAGCATGCACTACACATAAGTGAACTGTTTTGGCAGTGTGTGGTTTTTTGATTGCTACTAATATGTCAGTACTTGTTCCACAAAAGCAGACAGATTAATGCAACTCTTTTGACGTGTTCTTCTCTTTCCTTTGTTTCCTCCATGCCTTCCTCCAGATTAGCACTGCGTACACCTTTAAGTAGATTATACCAAGAAGTGGAGACTTTCAGGTACAGGGCCATCTCAGACACTTCTCTGACAGTAAACCGAATGGAACAGTATCGGACGGAATATAGAGGAGCTCTACTCTGGATGAAAGATGTGTCTCAGGAGCTGGATCCAGATCTTTATAAGCAGATGGAAAAGTTCAGGAAGGTATGAAGTTTCCTGTAGTTTCCTAGAAGGGGATGTCTGATGAGTGACAATGAAGCATAGTTTTAGTTCATCCAAGGAAGACAAATTTCAGCAGCACTAAGAATGCAATTTATTGTAACTAATCTTTTCCATGTGACTGGAGTCCGATTTATCTGATAGGGAATACAGTATCCTTCACAGAGTGGGCTGGGAGAAAAGATACGGTACTAAGAAACGTCATTTTTCAGTATTCTATTCAACTTCAGCCTAAAACTTTCTAATTTAAATAATACAAAATTTAAAGTAGGTTGTCTGATTTTAAGTACTTAGTTGTGATGCCTGAATGACTAAGTGCAAGAAGATATGACTGCTGTCAGCCAGGGAAGGGAAAACCTATTTTTGCAACTAAAAGGTACAGAATAACAGAAATGCTGCAGGGTCTGCTGCTAATTTTTTTTGGTACAGTTAAAGACCAACATTTTCAAAATTGGCTGAATTGAATTGCGTTCAAAATTCAATTCAAAACTTGATTTTGGGGAGAAGTTGCAAATTTGGAATTTGTTTTCAGTTTCCTCGTGCAGTCCAGCATGACTCTTGGGCAACTGCTAATCACTAAAACTGCTAATAATGCATTCTCCGTAAATTTTCAGTATCACTCAAGTTTGCTAAATTCCTCTCCTCCCAAAAGGCTTCCAAAAATCACAGTCTGGCAGTTTGCAGTTTTGCCACCAGGTATAAGTATAGAATTTACTTGGACTCATCCTCCCAGTCAGTTCAAAAACACCCATGAGAACTTCAGATTTGCTTGTGAGGCTCTGGTGCCGATTTTGTCAGAAGACTCTAATGTTCCCAGTTTGCTGTTTATATATCTTGACTATTAGGAGGAGGTAGGATCCTAGGGATGACATGGTGGCTTGGGCTTTGAGTAAAGGCAGTAAAAATTTTACAGGATTTATGTGATGATTGAAAGCAGAGGCCTAAAACCAAAAATTGTATTAAAGTGTATGTGCATGTGGCTTAGAGGCAAGTAATGTACAAAAGATAAAGCAGTGTTCATCAATGGTTTAAGTAATCTGTGCCTGAAAGTGTTGGGAGACAAAAGAGACTTAATTTGTGATTTTAAAAGCTTGAATAATCCATCTTAATGGGAAAGCACTGGCATGCATCTAGGCTATGACATTTTTTGTAAACTGAAGTGGTGACAGTAGCAATTAAGGAAGGGGTGGAACAAATGAAACTCCAGCTAGTCATCTAATCTTTATTTAATGCTTCAGTATAGAGTATTCCTGTAAGTCTTGTGGCACCAGACATGTGTTTTATTATGCCTTGTGGGAAATGTTTATAATGGCGAGTCCTCGCAGGTAAAATAATTGGTACGGTCTTGGCCTCAGCCAATTGCTTATGTATAATGTTTGATTTATTAGAAAAACACTTAAAAAGTGGAATGTTGGAATGAATAAAGCAGTACTAGTAATGGTCATACAAAATTGATTTATAGCTTTCTTGCAAAACAAATACTATGGAAGGTATAAATTATATAAATGGCAAAGTAATTAAAATAATGTATGCTTTGTAGAGTGATCTGCTGTAGTTAAAAAGTTAGACCTGAAGTTTCAGCCATGTTGGGTTGCTGTGCTTCAAGGTCAGCAAAAATATTTGTTTCAGGGTTTGGGGGTATTTTTTTTAAAGGTCTTACAAAATTTAGTAGTAAAAATGTGGAAATATTAAGTGTTTTGAAATATTTTTGAGTCTGAAATTAGTTATATTCTGACATTAGGTAATAATGTAGATTATAAAATTCTGTAGCATTACCACAAATAGTTAAAAAAAAAAAAAAAGAACAACCCCAAAATTTAAGAAGTTCTTTTGAACCTTTCTTTCCTCCGGCTGCCTATCAACTGAAAACATTTCAGATTGCATTGTAATGTAGAGAACAAAAAACCCTGTATTTTATAGCCAACAGAGTAAAGAAATGCCCTTGGTATCCACTTCCCTGCATGCTCCATCTGTGCAACAGGCACATCAAACTAGTCTTTGAAGATTTTAATGCTTGGAGAAAGTAAACTTTCTCTTTTTTCATTTTGGGAAAAAAAAAATAATTCCTCAAGCATAATGTACTTAGCTAGCTGTTGCGTAACATGACACAACAGTTTGGATTTAGTGCTTTACAAATGTAGTAGGCAAACAAAACTAATGGTGGATGCTGTAGACCTAAATTATTAAAGGAGTTATTTTTATTGTCATCTTGTTCTATTCTTGCTTGCAGAACTTAATTGTGCCATAGTGTGGCAGTGTAATGCTGGGATTTTAGGACTTATTTTGGATCTGTAACAATAATTTACAAAGTCATTCAAGTTCTGTGTTGAGAAAGATATCATAATTACTGATGTAAGGGGTTTGGTTCTAAAATGTACCATCACCAGAGAGAAGTGTTTGATCTGGAGCTGCATATCTAGTCATACAGCAGCAAGTAGTTAATGAAGCTGATTCTGTCAGAGCACTTGAAAGAAAGTTTTCTTCAGATTTCTAATTGTAAAAATCCTAAGTATTACTTCAGTAAACACCTTTTTTATTTCAGGTAAACAGTGCTGGTTTAGTGATATTTAATGCACCTAGTGCATCAGCACTATTTCTATCACTTGGTTGTAGGACTTGTTTTTGAAGAATGTAGCCTTTTATAATGTAAACCTAAGTGTGTCATTATGTATACAGATACAGTACTCGATTTTGGAGGCCAAAGCTAAATCAATCCATACAGGTTTTTCATACTTTCCATTCAGAATAGCTCAGGCTAAAAGATCAATAGTTGAGCCCGTATTTTCAGAACTGGTAACATCTGAGATAAAACCTCGGCATTTCTGTAGCTGTCTTTCAAAACAATGAGGTCCTTGAATGAATTTTCTAATGCTGTTCTCAAGGCATCAGTCTAAAAACGCAAGACGTGGCAATACTATCACTTTCAAAGTGTCCCAGAACACTGCAGAACAGCCTTTTACATTGTTTGAAGATACCTTTGTGACTGTAGCTACTTCAGTCAAACCAAGGAAATGGGTGAAGTATTTACTTTTCCCTGCAGAGTTCTATAAATGCTATGTAACTTAGTTCTTTTGTTTGTTTGTTTTTGTTGTTTCTGTTGAAAGTTTTTGTGGATACTCCAGTGCTATTCTAGATATAGAGGTCTTCCACACCAAGTTCACAGTTTGAGGTGTTGCTTGGGAGAATCTAAACAGCATCTTGGCAATGCTATGATATTTAAAACAAATTGAACAATTTTGTAGCCTTTTACCTCTCCACCACTCATCAGATTTTTAAGCTTCTGAAATCCAGGTTGTTTTATGTCTCATGACTGTACACTATAGCATGAGCTCTGCCATATTGTTGTAAAAATATAGACCAAATTGCCCAAGTGCTGATAGTCCCCTGGTGTCCTTCCTCTAGCTCTGAAAAAAATAAGCTTTGCCATGCATTTTCTGAGAAGGAACATGCCAGTGTGCAGAGTGATAAGCTAGGATACCAGCAGCCTACTATGTGCAGCCTGCGGGAACACAGAAGAGACTCTGCTGTTATTTAAGCTACCTCAGACGCTTGTACCCTGCAATATAGACTTTCTTATCAAACCTAGACATTACAATGCCACCTATTGCCAAGTTAGAAGTGAGAGAACATGGCAGGACATATATCGTTCTGCATTGATAGAGCATATTATTCCTTTATTTGTTTTTCATTTCCATCATTATTCTAGTTTTCTGCTTCCCCTTCATTCTCAGGCTGGAGTGTCTTTGTTAAATAGCCAGCGACCATGCTGGCGTCCCTGAGACATAATGTGCTGCAGCAGTGTACTGAGAACTGGGTACCTGAAGGGTTGGGCTTTGTTTCTCCTGTTGTCTAGTCCTCTCTGCTTTGCCAAAGCTGCTTTTTGGGGAGTTCTGCTTCTATATGAACCAAATGAAGCTCAGATGGGACAAAGAATAGGTTGAAGCTCTATAAGGGTAAGGAGTGGTGCATGGTCTGGTTGCAGCAGACCTAAGTAAATGTCAGGAGGCTGATCTGCTTGGCATACGATGTAAGTCCTATATCTATCACATATATTACATCATATATGTGATTTTGTAAAACAGTGTGTATTAGATGGGGTACTATTTGAAAAAAGAGTTGGACTTTGATCAATATATTTGCATGGGATCTGTGAGGAGAACAAGGAGCATGGCTTGTTCTGAATGATTAGAAAGGTCCTCCCTCACAGTGCAGAGCTCTAAACTACTTCAGAAGTGTTAAGGAGGTGGAATAGATCCTACCACAAATGAGAATTGTCAGAATATTTCCCTGAAAGACCCTAAATGATAATAGGACCTTTAATGCCTAGCTTTTACTTTGCGTGCAGCTGTCATGAAACTTGAAAGCTTGCAATTGAGTTGTTTGGGCACAGTTTATCTCAGGTTCTTCCTAGTTGTAGTACTCCACATACTTGAAATAAAATTAACGCCCTTAAATGGCATTTTTAAGATAAATATGGCAAGAGGAAAGGAAAGGGAGTGGGAAAAATGGAAGTTCAACAAGAACTGGTAATGATGTAACAGTACCTGAAACTGGTTTTGTAATACCGTTTTTGTAATGATATAACAGTACCTTAAACTGTTGTGGCTGATCTGTGCAAGTTCTCTGTTGAATATCTTTTTAAGAAATGACAGTTAAAGCTTGTGGGGACAGCTGGGGAATAAATATGAAGATCTAAATAAATCCATTGATTAAAAGGTCAGAAGAGAAATGCTGAAGTATATGTATTCATTGTAAAGATCTCGGCAAGTAGGGGTAAGATACATCTGCTGCAGCCTGACAGGGAAGTCTCGGTACCCACATCTCTGTTCCCCTTCTGTCCCCTGGCCTATTAGCACTGCCTGAGATGAGTGCATTTTGGCTTGTGTGATGATGAAGGGGCTATACTATGTTACAGCATCATCTGCTACTTGCCTGTCCATTAACAACAGCTTAAAGCAGCCCTGCAAACCTGGAGGCACTGTGAA